CCCTGGCGGAGCGCGTCAGCGGCAGCGCCGCCTCGCCCTCCGCCACCAGCGCCGCAGCCAGCGCGTGCGCCAGCCCCAACGCCATCTGCGGCGGGTCGCTGCTAATTATGGTGCGACGATCCCAGCGCAGTACGGAAGAAGAGCCGGAGCTGGAGCTTATCTGGTCGGCAACGCTGCCGACGGAGGCGGGGGCAGCGGAAGCGGCTGCGCCAACGCCGCTGGAGCTCAGCATCCGCCGACGAATGGCATCTACAAGGCCCGACATGGCGACGCTAACCGGCGGAGGCGTGTCCTCAAGGCCGTACGACGATGACGACGACGACGGAGACGACGGAGGCGACGGAGGCGGAGCCAGCACGCGTGTGGCATGGCCAGCGACAGCGCCGTCGCCACTGCCGCCACAGCCACCAGCGGCAAGAGCAGCGCCACCGGCGGTGTAAGAGGGGAGGGAGGCGGACGCGGCGGCGTGGATGTCGACGTCAGCGTCCAGGTCCTCATCTGCAGCCGCCGTTGCCGCCTCTGATGGCCCGGCGCAGGACGCTGCGTCCCGATAAGACTTGGGGGCACCCCGGTAGTGAACCTGTACCACCGCCCCCAACGATGATAACGGTCAAACTGGGTCAAAAAGAACATTCAACCAAATAACGAACAGCCGAACAACTGAACAACCGAATAACGAACTGACGGATTGAGCCTTGAGTAAGACGGCAATAGCCCTTGCATGGAAACGCCACCACGAGGCTGCGAAACGCACATGGTCCCCCATAACCTACCCGCAATCTGTTCGTCATGGCCGCCAGGGTCAGGGGCGGCAGCAGGTGCAGCTCCCCGCACCGGGCTATGAGCGTCATCAGCTCCGAAGACGGCAGCAGCAAAATCTGGAAGGAGTGGGGAGGAGAGTGGGGGGGAGAGTGGGGGGGAGAGTGGGGAGGAGAGAGTAGGGAGGAGAGTGGGGAGGAGAGAGAAGGGAGAAGAGTGGGGAGGAGAGAGAGGGGAGAAGAGTGGGGAGGAGAGAGAAGGGAGAAGAGTGGGGAGGAGAGAGAAGGGAGAAGAGTGGGGAGGAGAGAGAGGGGAGGAGAGTGGGGAGGAGAGAGAGGGGAGGAGAGTGGGGAGGAGAGAGAGGGGAGGAGAGTGGGGAGGAGAGAGAGGGGAGGAGAGAGTGGGGAGGAGAGAGAGGGGAGGAGAGTGGGGGGGTAAGCATATGCGAGGACCTCAAGAGATAATGTACCGGCGCGTCGAGAGGGGAGGGGAGAAGGGGAGGGCGGTAAGGACACCCGCCCAAAGAGAAGATGACGGAGGGTCGGAGATGAACTCACGGAGAGGGGGGCCCATTGCATGATGAGAAACAAGGGCACGATGCAGGAGACAAAGAAACAACTGCGACGACATAATTTTTCATAATTCCTTTAAGAAGCAAAGAGGGGACGGGGGAAGGGCGCCAGGAAGGCAGCCAGGAAGCGTCAAAGCTCCCAGATCCCTACGGCGGGCCCACACATTGCGACGGACGGGATGGGAGAGGATAGGAGCGGTTTCGGAGCCCGGGCAGGGCCGGGAAAGGTTGGGGGGAAGCAAGGGAAGCCGGCCGGTACGGGGTAGCGAAGCTACGTCAGCGTCCAGGCAAGTCAGTCCTTCACCCTTTTGCGTTCTCCCCTTCCCTCCCCCCTCCCTTTAAACCCCCCTACCCACCCTCTCTTGCAGGCCCTCCAGCAGCTCCAATCGTACGGTGGGTACGGACTGCGCCGCCGCACGCAGCAGCCCGTCCGCCACCCTCCACGGCGGCAGGGAGGGCTCCCTCAGACTGCCCGCCAGGAAGGGCTCATGAGCCGCCAGCAGCCTGAGAGTGCGGGAGGGGGAGGAGGGAGAGGGAGGGGGGGAGAGGGAGGGAGGGGGGCGCAGAGGGGGCATAGGGGGAGAGAAGTGGGGCGAGAGGCGAGAAGGGGCAAGAGGCGCGGATGGGAAAGAGGGAAGGTGTCATGCAAGTGGCAGAACAGGAGGGAGGTGCGGCAAAGGGGCCGGGAGCCAGCTAACCCCTGAGCCCTTCCCAACACCCCTAAGGAACAAGAAGTGAACATGGTACGAGGCAATAGCGAAGAAGGGAATGCAGGATGAGGAGGATGCACACCGCCCTCATCCACCCACCTCGCC